GGAACCAAGCTCATTTCCTTCGGGGTCTCCTAGTGGTGTCCCATCTGGAATGCCTTCTGTGGTGCCTTCATCAGTACCAAGTGAAGTGCCTTCCACCACACCATCTATCATGCCAACTACACGCCTTGATTCTATTATTGATCAATTTTTGTCACGTCTTTGTGCATGGAATATTCGCTTTTGTTAATAYTATTTTTGGTTGTTCAAGTCGTCATCATTACTGTGAAYTAACTATTTTTTTCAATTGCGTGTTTTTCCTTTGGTTTGTTTTCATAGCTTCTCAAATGTTATTTTGTAGAACTCTCAAACATCTTTCATTGTCATTTTCATTCTTTGTCTCAGTAGCACTTGCTTATGSTTAAGCAGATCTTATGTCATTTTCTTTTTATAWCTTTTGATAGTTGTTGTGCTTGTTTCATCATTTGAACTTCTTAACATTGAAATATCAATTATGTTCACTTTGGCTTCCTTCTTTAGTTTTTATAGTTTCACTCCTGGTTGAACATCAACTAGGGTACTTTTCTCTTTAGTGCTACTAGTAGCGGTATTTGCATTTTTAATATTTCTGTGTTTATCCTGTTTTGTTTTAAGTACAGAAATTTATTTGGTGAATCTGATGGCCATGAATCTTCTTTCGAACATCAGAATAGACCATCATCGGTGTATGTTTGATAGGTAGGATCCTATTGCGGGATTGATTCCCCATCCGGCACCAAAAACAATCACAAGTCACATTGGATGGATTTGATGTCTTCGTCTCACTCCAGTTTCGTTAGCATGAAGTACGAGTAGTTAGTAACTACCGTACCGTACGTCCAATTGTGTTCACGGTACGTACTCGTATCGTTYGAGCAGGTCGTAAATTGGTTTTCGGCTTCTCACGATGAAATTCTTTCTCCCATTCAAAATTCATACTTCTATGAATTACGAAGGGACAAATTCATCAACTGAAAGATCGACCACTCCACTGGACTCAAATACTCTCTGTTTTCAAGTGCAAGAACCAATTGGAAATGGTGAACATGATTAAGAAAACAAAGCCGGGTTCATTCTTTAACCTTGCTGTGGCTTCTGTTCTCTCTTTCATCGTTCTTTTTCAAAGTGTCGATTCTGTCATGGCATTTGCCCCGCGTTCCAACTTCATGGGTTTTGCCAAAACCCAAAACCGTCTCACACGCGATGCAACTGGGCAGGGAAAAAAATACAGTTGTGTGTCGCCAAGGATATTAGACGCACAAACAGTGACAATAGCCAGAGCGATAGTGGTCGAAACTCCACGAACGACATTATCATTGTCATCGACAACTCCGGCAACCACAACCACACTACTACCACCACCAAAGTTGACCTTCTCCGAAACCATGCGCACATTTCACCCCTCGATGGCGATCACGGACTCCACTATCTCGATCCATTGCATCGATTTCCCAAGCAGCGGCAAGATGTGTACAAACTGTACAACGGAACGGAAGACGAAAACCATTGGAACGTGACCTCTGCCTCGGACGCCTTTCCAGGCACGGGACAGAAGCCGAACAAAAGAAAGCACAATCCTTCGTATTGGGTCACTTCGAACTTTTTCACCCATCGGACCGACCTCGGATGGTATGCCATGAGTCCMGACAGKGATAATGGCGACAGCCGCGGTTGCCCACCACTTCAGCTCATCAGCCAGGCTGCTCTAGAGGGGGAAGAGGACCGGGCCGAG